CCGGGTGGGGGGCGGCCCCAGCGGGCAGGGCAGGGTCCCTTCCCCGCCAGCCATGGTCTCCACAGGAGTGCGCGTCACCGCCCCCTGCTGGCCTGTGCGAGCTTGCGTTCCCTTCTCTCTACCTTGGGTGTCTTGGGACTATCCGGGGAGGCACCTGTGAGCCAATATACCTACTCCCCAGCTGGGGAAAGGCGACGCCTGCTTTGCTCCATGTCTCTGTTATACGTTCAACCAGAAAAGAGCAGAGGCTGTTGTTCACCCTGGAGCCAATCAGCGCCTGGCTTCTGCAGGTTGGGGACAGAGACTGTTCTAGTGCTGGGTTTAGGAGGCCCTACACAGCTGGTATCCACTTCCTGTGGAGTCCAGGGTAGCTGCCTGGGCTGGAGGTAGAGCCCTGGATTGGGATGGAGGCAAGTCTCCCTGTTTATGGCTAAAACCAGGACGGGCTGGGAAGACGGCTCAGTGGACAATTTGCCTGCCCCAGCAAGCCTGAGGAGCTGAGTTATCCCAGTGCTGGGGAGGCAGAGACAGGAGCCTCGGGACAGCTCACTGCCCAGACAACCTAGCTGAATAGATAAGTTCCAGATCCCACAAGAGAACCTGCCTCAAAAACTTGGGAGGAGAGCAACTGAAGAAAACACCCCAGGCTCACCTCTAGCTCCATATACATGAACACACACACACACACACACACACACACACACACACACGCACACATGCACACACTCAGGCATGAAAATACAATGAATTAGAAAAGAAAGGGGACTAGAGAAGTGGCTCAGCACTTAAGAGCACTTGTTGCTCTTGCAGAGGGCCCAGGGGGTTTGGTTCTCACTACCCATGTGATGGCTCACGACCTACTCATAACTCCAGTTCCAGAAGATTTAACACCTTCTTTTGGCTTCTACTGGTATGACATGTATGTAGTGACCAAAAACATGCAAGCACATGCACATAGAATAAAATAACTGTGGGTCGGGGAAGGTGAAACAGTGTTTCTAGCCACACGCTGGCTACCCAGATGGGCCAGCACCTCTGAGAGTAGCCACAATAAGAAACCAATGCAAAGGGCTGGACAGTGGACCTGGCTGGGAACCCGTAGCTGTTCCCGACCCAGGGCTGGAGCGATGGAATGAAAGATTCTAGCAGGACAGTGGAGATGGTTCATCCTGTGTGCTGATGCATAGAAACAGCACATGGAATATCTCTGAGCTCAGAAGTGGCCAGCACATTGAACTGTGGGTCTGTCAGGTAGAGTTCAACAGCAAGGGGCAAGAAAGCAGAGAGCCCTAGACAAATGACCCTGGACCATGCAAGTTCCTGTCTGGTTCCCCTCATAGTCTAAGCATTCTCAGGGCTCATGACAGAGGCCAGGGGGGTCTTGTAACCTGAAGGACAGGAGCGCCAAGAAAATCAGGGAGGTGTTCTAGAGGCAGATGGAAACACGTGTAGAGGTGGATACAAATGGAAATGGTGGCCCCAGCAAGGTGAGAAAGCACAGCTGGAAGTGGCCTGGGCCATGACAAGCTATTGGAGCAAAGTGCTATGGTCAGGTTGTGCTGGGGCCTCAGGCCCTGTGAGTGTTCTATTCAACTATCAATTGGTTAGCACAACTATCAACTGGTCAGCACAGCCCTGGGATGTGGTACAGCTGGGGCTATGTGGTACACTGGGAGGAGAGCTCAGGCTGCACGAGTGACTGACTCAGTGTCATTCTCATAATGGTGGCCACCAGGGAGATCTGGGCAGGAAACCATGTGTGGCTAGTCCCAGCCTTGGTCTGTTGGGTTCTCCTATCTCCTAACTCAAGGCCCCTCTGAGAGTTCTGCGTGTGCTGAGACTGCTCTCCAGCAAGTGTGTGTAGAACCAGGCAGGAAGGGAGAAGGAACAATATCAGTGCTGAACATGGGTGAAGCAGTCAGCATAAGATCCAGGTACTGGGGAGAGAGAGAGCATCATTGTGAAGGCCTAGTCACCCCAGAGCGGGGGAGGGGGTGTATAGTAAGACAGGCAGAGATGGAGAATGCCCTAAAGGCTGTGTGCAGGAACCGGGACCCTCTCACTGTCCATCACCAGGCTCCAAGCCATAACCATAGCGCCTTTGCAAGTGGCTATGGAGCCGATGACACCCGTGCTATGCCTCCCACAGGTACTGAGAGGCACCACCCGTCCCTCAGCCCCGAAGGAGGCCGCTCACTGGCCTCTCCTGCTGTCTCCTGTAGGTATGTGTTTACTACAGAAACGTCAACCCCTAACCTCCTGTCAACTCAGCACCAAGCCCCCTCACAGAGCCTCCTCACTGACATGGTGGAGTGGACACAGGCCCCAGGCCCTTGCACCCTGCTCACACCTTGCCAGGGTCGCAAGAGCACCAAGGGCACTGATGGAGCTTCTGAGTCCACCAGCTGCAGAATACGCACATTAAGCACCCAGACGCCAAAGGCAGTGTGTGTACCTTTGGGTGATCAGGTGCTGATCCTGTAGCAGCTTGTTAGCCCCTTGTTTTGCAGGGTTACCATCCTCTTAATATCATGCCTGCAGCCTGGGGGTTTCTTCCCAGCTAGGGGCTTCTCCCTTTGAGGGGGCTTCTCCTCAGATGGGGATTCCTCTGCCAAAGGCAATGGACAAAGAAGAACTAAAAACTGCATCATAGACCAAAGTCTGCACTTTTTCATAAAAAGCCTGAAGCTGTCCCAGAACACCCACCACTGTCTGAGCACTGACTGTTACAGGCAAGCATGCCCCAGCCTCTTGTGGGAGATCAACAGAAAGACTCCTGTAGAATTTTGGACTTTCCGTTGTCACATGTGGGGGTTTCCATGACAGTCCACACCTGCAGGTGGTCTGGAGCAGCTAAACTTAGAAGAGGTGGTCTGGGTGACCCGTATCCACACAGGGGCCTACTGCTTGACTAGGGCCATGCCTTAGGTCTTCAGAGGCCCCAGTATGTGGGCTGCATCCATGATCTTCAATGTCTTTACCACAGAGAAGCTGACTAGAGCAGGGGGCTAGCTATTCCATCCCACAGAGGTGCAGAGAACCAAGGAGAAGATGGCCCGGGTCAGGGCTGGAAGGGGTTCTGACAGTTACAAGCAAAGGGATGGAAAGTACCAAACCATTCTTAGCAGAGGTGGGTTGGATCCAGGTGCTGGGGATGCAGCTTGGGGTGGAGACCTGCTGGGGGCTGTTACAGGCCTGCCAGGTCTGCACACCCAGTGTGCTTTGGATCCCAGTAACACCCATGTGTTAATATTAGGTTAAAATTGGTAATGTAATAGAAAATATTCCCAATACCAACAAAAATACCAAATAGCCAGAAAAAGATAAAAGAACTCTGCACTTCTCACACTGGGGAATTTCTTTTTTTTTTTTCTTTTTTTTTGGTTTTTTGAGGCAGAGTTTCTCTATGGCTTTGGAGGCTGTCGTAGAACTTGCTCTGTAGACCAGCCTGCCTCTGCCTCCCAAGTGCTGGGATTAAAGGCATGCACGGCCACCACCACCTGGCTTTCTTGTTCACTTTTTGTTGATGTTATTTGATTATTCTTTTTTGGTGGGAGGGTTCTCATATAGCCTAGGGAAATCACTATGTAGCCAAGGATGATCTTGAACTTCTGATCCTCCTGCCTCCACCAAGTGCTAGGAAGACAGGCATAGGCTGCCTCACCTGATTTATGCAGTGCTACCTGCTAGCTAGACCAGGACATCTCCAGCTGAGCTGTATCCGCAGTCCTGTTGTTTCAGATGGAATCCTACTGTGTAGTCCAGGCTGGCCCTGACTCCTGGGCCCCAGTTTACATTTTCATAAAAGAGGAAGGAAATGGAAAGGTATGCCACTGTCTGGATTTAACATCTAAATTTAGCTTTCTTTCTTGTTTTTTTTTTTTTTTCGGTTTTTCGAGGCAGGGTTTCTCTGTGGCTTTGGAGGGTATCCTGAAACTAGCTCTTGTAGAACAGGCTGGTCTCGAACTCATAGAGATCTGCCTGCCTCTGCCTCTCGAGTGCTGGGATTAAAGGCATATGCCATCACCGCCTGGCTTAACTCAGCTATTTCTTTCTTTCTTTCTTTTTTTTTTTTTCCAGGGTTGAGAACCAAACCCAGGGCCTTGCGCTTGCTAGGCAAGCGCTCTACCACTGAGCTAAATCCCCAACCCCAACTCAGCTATTTCTTAACCTAGAGATATTAAAAGAGTTGCAGTCAAATTAACACTGAACTCTGGCCCTCTGCAAGAGTAGTAAGTGCTTTTACTGCCAAGCCATTTCTCCAGCCTTCACACAGTATTAAAATCACGAGTGCGTGTCTGCGTGTGTGTGTGTGTGTGTGTGTGTGTGTGTGTGTGTGTTTGAGGTCAGAGGATAACATGTGCCAGTTGGTTCCATGAACTCAGAACTCAGGTCATTAGGCTCAGTGGCAAGCACCTTTCCCCACCGCGCCATCTTGCTGGATCTTTTGTTTGTTGTTTTATTTTTCTTTTTTCAGAACTTGACCTCTATGCACACCATGCCAGGCAAGTACACATGTGTGTGCATTGTACACACACAAATAAATACAGTAACTTAAAAAAAGAGCAACAGGTCTGTCTTAATACACGATCTTCCTACATACAATATCACAAAACATTAAATGACACTGGGTGTGATGGTTTAATCCTATAATACCTACCACTCAGGAAGTAGAGACAGGAAGCTTGCCGTGAGCTTGAGGTCAGTCTAGGTACACAATAAACTACAGGACAGCAGGGGCTACAGAGTGAGACCCAGTCTTAAGAACAAACAAGGTGTGGTGGCGCATACTTTTAATTCCAGCATTAGGACACAGAGACAGGCAGATCTCTGTGAATTCCAGGCCTGGTCTATATAATGAGACATGTATAAAAAAAAAGACATTATTAAGATGAATAAAATATTTCTAACATTTACATGAAAATGTCTTAGTATCTTTAACAAAAAGAACCTCCAAATCAGTAAGAAAAAGACAATGGTGAGGGCTTGCCAACTTCTTTGCAGGGTCTTTTAGAAAATACCCGAATCCCAGCAGAGTCATAGGCAGGCAGATCTCTGAGTATGAGGCCAGCCTGTTGTCTCAAAAACAAAACAAAACAAAAAACAGCCAACCAAACAAAAAACCCAAATGTTAAAAACAATGAAACTGAAATCTGGCAACGTAGTTCAGTCTGGTGGAGGCTTGCTGATTGTATGACAGCACAGAGCCCTGGTTCAATTCGCAGCGCCACACCCCTTCCTAAAAGGAGATAAAAAGAGAAAACGTAGAAGATCAGGAAGGACCAGGACAGAGAGACTTAACCAGTTTATCCCACCGCCTGCAGCTGCAGGCTGGTGACCATGCTGGCTCCTCGATTTGGAGAGAGATCTGTGGAAATGTGTAGCTCCTGCCAAATATCAAAACAGATGTTTTCCCAGTTTCATGCACAGTGTCCATCACTGTGCAGATTTGTGGGGGACATGAGGGGTCATTTAGCAAGTTGGGCAAATGTGGTGTCTCAGGACCCCCATTCCTTAGTCTGAAATACAGACAAGGGACCTGGCTGTCTCCTATAACCTGCCTACTCTCTCATCACAAGACCAGCCACAGTGGCACTGGCCTGGATCACTGGGCTGAGGTGAGCAGTCACGTGTCTCACTGTACAGTGACCTCTATATTGAACCTTTTTTTGTTTTTGTTTTTTTTCTTTTGTTTTTTTGAGTGGCTTTGGAGGCTGTCCTGGAACTAGCTCTTGTAGACCAGGCTGGTTTGGAACTCATACTGAACCTTGTATAAGTCACTGACCTTGTCCCTTGAAGCCTAGAGTCAGGAACCATGTTCCCAGGGTCTCCCCACAACTTTTGCCCTTCATTATAACCAGTGGATTCGATGAGCCACTGTGGTATCCTGGAAGGGACTGGTGGGCGTGAATGAATTCACCCTTTAGGCCAGGTAAAAAGAACAATTTATTAAGCACTCTGAAAGAGCTTGCCAGATCTTCCCTGTACATTACAAACAGTGGCAGTTACAGCATCACACTCGTGGTCCTGTAAGTCCTACTCCGACCCCGACCTTGTCTCAGCCCACGGCTCTCTCTTCTTCCCCCTCCCCCACTCACCAACCCTTTGTCATCCCCACTCCCACCATATCTCCTTGGCCCCACCCATCCCCCCTCTACATAATCAGGAACCCTATCTCCCGGCTCCCTAACCTCAGAGTGTGTGAGGCTTAGTGCCTCCCTTCCCCCACCCCCGCCTTATTTCAGCCCTGAGCTGCCCTCCTACCCCTCCTCCATAACCCCTCCTCT